CCAGTCATTAAAAAACTTCCCCTATAAAATTCTTTTTTTATACTTACCTTATACAAGAAAGAAAACTCTCTTATTTTAAAGAAACGCCCAGTTTCTTCAATTTCATTACAGAACGTTTGCATTGTGCCTTTTTAACACATTTAACACATAAAGCACTTGTATAGGACCAATTTTGGGACATGATAATTACCATTTAATCATTCTATCCGCAAAATTAAAAAATTAATTTGACGAAATTATTTCACTCAAAAAAAAAAAATACCAGTCACGTAATTTAATAAAACAAAATAAATTTTAATAATGTTTATTGTTTTTTCTAAGGACAACAAAACGTAAAACTTAAAAAGCCAGGTTTGTTAATAAACTTATTCGATACACTTTAAATTATTAATTAATTTGTTAGTAATTAATACCATAAAACAAACCATAATTATATTGTTTAATTATATAATAAAAAACAAAAGCAACAAATTTACAAATAAAAACAGAACGTCGACCACCTATCTGCTGCTGTGATTAAACAGCAGTTATTAAATATGTACAGACAGCATAGCAAATTTCATCTATCAGTGTTATTGAATGCCATAGTAAGTAGCCTACAGATGGCGTTCATTAAGCTGTCTGCACCTATTCATAAAACAGCAGTGCTGTGGTCGCCCAAGCATTATGGCCTAGTGATGAAACCGTTGTTATGAGCTACCATCATCAGACTTGTACATTATTACAAAATAATAGTAAAATATTAATTAAATATGCCCAGAAGCGAAAATTCGTTACGATGCAATGTTCATAATTAATTGATTAATGTGTAGGTAATTAAACAGTTAAGTTATGCGCGTTTCGCTCATTCCATAAATTCACCAACAAATTACAACAAAATAAAATGTTTCCATTACACAAATTTATGTGTGTAATATTTAAAATATAACTTTTAACTCTCGTAACTTTAAAAATAAAATATGTATATATACACTTTATTTTCACATAGTGAAAATTTTAAATATGTACTCTAATTCGTTAATTACTTCTTATTACGAATCAGATTCTCATAACTCAAGTTTTTGATCCGAAATTATTAAACACCAATAAACAATAGAAAAGTGAAATCCCTTAAACAGAAAATAGATGGAGCGGCTTATATTTGAATTTTTATTAACATGCCTATTCCTAAGATTCAGAAATGAAAAAAAAATTTTCTTTTTTGTTTT